AATATTATATACATTAACGTTATATAATAATATACTATTATTAGTATATAATACATTATATATAATATAATAGTATATAATCATTATTATATAGTATTACAGTATATAATAATATACTATTATTATATAACATTAATGTATATATTTATCATTGTTTTTCACCTTATTCACTTTATGTTCTCACTTATTTTTGTATTTAATTTTATTTTAATAAAATTCTGTAATGTATTTTATATTTACATTCTGATATATAATACTTATTATGTACATGCATATGTCAAAAAGGATGTGCAAACCAACAGATTACTACTTGAACAGTGCTACTAATCCATAGAAATTAAAATTATTTCGTTTAAAGGATTTCGTTGATTTCGTACTAACATTATCCCCTCCATTTTTTGGGAAATTGTCGTCTAAGAGCCGCAGCACACACTTTTGCATAAGGCATAACGCATAAGAAAATGAACCAATCCTCCATTTCTACCGTACATAATGGAAATAAAAGATTCTGATTGGTTAATCTTTTTATGCATTATGCCTTATGCAGAAGTGTGTGCTGCGGTCCTAATCGTTAAAGGTCGAAGCACAGACTTTTGCATGACGCATAACACATAAGGCATAGCGCATAATATAACGAATGCCAACACACAAGCTTGTGCGTGAAGCTTTATATTTTAACCTAAAAATCGATGATGTTTCAAATGATGTTGATGCCGAATTACGCCGAATCAATTACAAAGTAAAGTACACAGTTTAATCAATTACGACAGTAAGCGTCGGCATACGTACTTTGAGGTTTGTGAAACACGTGACCTGTCGCCATAGTCTTGGAAAAAGCGTTTAAATTTCAAAAAATAAACATCGTAAAATTAGACATATTAAAAGTAAAATATTAATATTTTAAAATTAAATAAATATTATAATAAAATAACAAATATTTCAGTGATTCATTCTTTATTATATTTTACTATTTATGAAATATAATAATAAAAATAATAAAACATTTCAGAAAATGTAACATTTCAGTAAATTATATATATTTTATATTTTACATATAATATAAGATATAATATATATTACAATATAAAGATTTACATATGTACTATAGTTAGATAGAAATATTATTATAAAAATTTATTTCATTAATGCACAGAATTAAATAAAGCTGAAGATAATTTTTACCTTTTGATTTTACATTTACTGAAAAATTTAGTGTTGGAATTGCATGCAGTCGAAGTCTATTTCTTAAATTGTTTAAAAAATTGATGAACCCTAAGAGCACATAATATCATTCGAATATTCTACACTCGTAACTGAAAGTACTATAGTCATACGTACTATTGCCTAATATACCAGAGAACATTCATATGACATCTGATGGCATATCATTTCTCATATATTCTTAAGCTTATTTTCAGAATATACCGAATATACTTTAACAGCATATGATATCATACGAATATTTTGTATTTATACTGAATGTTATGATTCGAAGTCATTTTTCATCATTCGACGTTAGTGTACTAAATAATGACGTAAAATAAACATAACCTTTGTCGCGAAATATTATCGTCATAAATATATCGTCATTTAATCGTCGTAATTTTTAAATAATTTTAAATAAATAAATAATAAAATAACATTATTAATTACTATCTTTTTTAATTAACTATAATATATAAATAAGAAAAATATGTCCCATATTTAATGCAATTATTAACAAATTTATAAAAAAATAAACAAAATATATACAACAATTTGTAAACAATTTTCGTAAGAAAAATTCTCATTAAACATAATATACGGTCACGGCTCTAAATGTAATTAAATTATCTACTTAAGAATTACATATGCAATCGAAATTTTAAAATTACGACCATTATTATTAAGACCATTTATATGACAATATAGTAACATTCATTAACTGGATCTATTATATTTTATGTCAACTTTCCGTGTTCACTTATACCATCATTTCAGTTGCAGGTTTCATCCCATTATAGAAGTTAAGCAGCATCGAGCAGGATCCCAAAAAGGATGGATGACCGTTTTAGAAACATGCCAATGATACAAGATAAAAAATGTTTTATTATTTTCTTTCATTTTTTTTCATTTTTTTCACTTATTTTCCGTAAGAGGTATCACGTATATTATACGTATATTATAGATATACATATATGTCACGTATATTATAGATATATATATTATATATCTATATATTATAGATTTTCACGATCTATATAGCTATCTCTATATACCTTTATGCATGCCCTACATGATATACTTTTTAAACCATTTTCATCCTATGGCCATACTGCGGGATATTCTCCAGTACATACTAGGGATTAGGTTAGTGAGCGGTAGTAACGATCTCAGTACATTCCATAGTATATCGCAGTACGTATTTCGAATGTTCAGAGAATATCTCGAATGTATTTATATGTATCCCGTGGAACATTCTCAGAATAGATGAGTGCTATTAAGGAAATGTTCATTGTAAATTCTGTAATTTATACATAATTGTTCTAAAGGTGTGTCTATAGATCTATTACAAAATTTTAATCATAACTTAGTTATCATAACTTAGTTATCATAACTTAGTTTAATCATAACTTTTAATTATAACTTCTAAAGAGAAAAATGTGAAAATTACTATTTTTTTAATTAAGATATTTAGAAATAAAATGTAAATATTGTAACTTAATTACATGTATAGTAATAAATATGCAGGATGTCCCGTAGCACTGTCATCATCGCTCATGAGAAGATAGACGGGAGCGAGATAAATTAAAATATCTTATATCATTTTATTCGATATTCGCAATAATTTTCGAGTTATTAAATATTAAAGTTGCACAAATAAGAGCGCGCGGGGAGAAAATGCTCGTCTACCTGACCCGTAGGACGACTCAGCGTGACAACAATGGTTATGGCCTCGCCCGGCGCTCGGCGATGGGCGGAGCGCACGCGGCGAGGGGATAGCTGCCGCACACTCTTCGCATTCGATCTACAGGTCAGGCGGGCGAGCGTTTTCTTTC